CACAGCAGTGAAGTGCTGGGGACAGTGGACAGAGCCAACAAAGAAGTGGCCATTGAGGCTCTTCTCAACACCTTTGAGGAGGTGTGGCTGAGTCGACAGCTGGAGCTGGTGGCCACACGGAGGCAGCCCCTGACAATCAGCCGACAAGAGGTACATAGTACAGCTCATTCAGTATTATATTGCTCAGTACACATAATCTTCACATCAAAAGCATCCTGTGTCTGCATCTTCTGAGTTTAGTAGGAGAGTGCTATGTACATCATGTGCCCAATACGTAGGCTACCCTACTGCATGTTACTTACACATTAATGTCATACACGTGTATCATGCAGACGGTGACGGAGCTGGGATTGGAGGGACAGATAATAGCTCCAGCCACTTCCAAACCTCGTGTCTCTTCGGCAAAGGTCACCTCGCTACTGCAGAGGTCACGACGGTCTGTGACCAAACCTACCAGTCCCACCCCCTTCTCTCCTCCCTCCCCTTCCTCACCTCCCGACACTTCTCACCAAACTGTCCGCCTCCTCTGCAATACTGACAGTATCTTTGAGACACTTGAGAGTCATCAGGTCAGTAATACATAGAAGAGAGGTGCATTAACTGGCGTGTGAAGCAAGCCTTCGTCCGAATGTTTCCTTTTACATATTCCGCCAGCCTATGCTGTCACTGCAATCATGTACATACGTATGTGCATGTGTGTGACTCTTTCATTGCAGTATTCTTGGGTGTGTGTATATGCTTCATGTGCGGAAGTTGGGTGTGTGTGTATATATGCTTCACGTACGGAAAAATTAGTGTAAAAGGTCAAGTTTTGCCTCACCTGTATTTTTGATGTAAACTGCCACATACAGAAGATTCCCAATTACTGCTTTCACATTTATATAGTAGTGTCACTTCTAACTGTGGTCCCTTTCTCTCCACACATAATGACACTGCACACATCCCCAGACCTCCATCCAGTCAGTGATAGGCACTACGGCTGCAGCCTCGTTCACAGACGACCTCCATCGCTGGCAGAAGATGCTGCAGACCATCGAGGCAGTCCTGGGGGTGTGGCTTCAGGTCCAGGCCCTGTGGACCCAGCTGGAGGTTTGGAACTAACTGAGTCCTGTACCATACTGTGCTTATGCTCAAGCGTCCTGTTCCATAATGCTCATGCGTATTGCACATCAACGCTAGCGCAAGTGTTCCTTGCGTCGAGGGTTTCACTTTAGCTGTTCCAAATGTTCTGTGTTTGCATGCTTACACCTGGACACACTGCACGTAACTTTTTGGGGGTGAAATAATATGACAAAATAACATGTTTTTGTTGCAAACCTACTAAAGAATAGTTCTGCACTAACTACGTACCTGGAGCATATGAGACAGGATGTATAAACGTGTAGTACAGCGCACATTATTCGCGCTATACATAATTCATAATGGCAGGTGTACCAGAGTAGTGAGGTGCAGACACACCTGCCTGCCCAGTCCTTCACCTTCTCCTCTGTGGACAAGGACTGGAGAGACCTGATACAGTCAGCCACAGCCAACCCCTCCGTCATGACCGTCTGCCTCAAGGAAGGTAATCAAGAGGCAGCCTTAGCACTGTCCCTCAAGTAGTGTACAATTGACACTTAGTCAGTGTCTCTACCTGTACCTATACTTGTCCATTTTAGGCAGGAGTAATAATTGGCAGCATTACAATATATATGTGCCTTGTTATCTACGTATGTGTTAAGGACTGCTGTGTCAGCTGGAGAAGCTGCAGACAAGTCTACTGCAGTGTCGAGCTGCTCTCGTAGGCTACGCCAAAGGCCAAAGAGACAAGTGCCACTGGTTTCACTTCATTCCTCTTGACGATGTGCTCAAGTTTGTCTGCTGTGGTCAGTGCCTACATAGCCTTACAGCAGAGGGGCTGGGCTGCACACTAGATATGAATATGTAGCCCAACTTGCCACTATTTTCATGCTAGTTAAAGTGGTAGGCTGTTCTTATGCCAGGGCTAGCGTGTGGCAATCACATCGTGCCTTAATTTTCTATAGTTTCTACACCCCTCTATTGAAAATTTATGGATCCGCCACTTGTTACAGCCATGTTATTTCTTGCCTTTGTGTTTGATTTAAGCCTAGAGAACCAATTTTGACTGTGAATGAAATTGCCATCTCTTTCATTGTCTGTTGGCACAGGCTCACATGTGGAACAGCTCAGTTCCCTTATCCACAAACTGCTGCCCCATGCCAGTGGCCTCCTCTACACCCACAACCCTCCCCCCCACCCTCCCACTTTCCCCCTCCTCCCCTTCCACTCCCCACCTCCCGAGGATCACTGGTGTCATCGGTCACCTAGGTGAAAGACTGGAACTTCAACAGGTACGCCAGCGTACCATTTAAAGGAGTGGGTGTGTATGTTGGAATATTCGGGACGCAAACTTGGCCAAATTCCCCATTTTCCCTGAAAATAACCATGTGGCGAGAGATGGGAAGAAGTCTGGATCAGCAACATATGAAAGGCTGGAGTGTGATAGGGGGGGAAATGAAAGGCTGAAGCAAGATAGGGGAAAGAGAAAAGGCTGACACACCTAATATGCATATTCTCATCACTATTGAGTGGTTTACAATAGTACGCGTAATTGCCTTTCCGACTACATTTGTGCTCCTCAACTTAGTTAGAGAGGATAGAATACATTTTACACTATACTCCTCTTCGTGCAGAGTGTTGCCTGTTCCGGGACTATGGAGAGTGTCATCACCTCTCTCTTCTCCTCAATTCGTTCGACACTTCGCTCCCAGCTCTCCTCCGCCATGGCCTCTCACACCCTCCCCACTTCCTCCTCCTCCTCCTCCTCTCCTCTCTCTCTCCTCCCTTCCCTCTGGTGCTCAGGACACTCCACTCAGATCATTCTCCTCACCACGCAAATCAGCCTCGATGTGGCTCTTGAAACTTCCCTCCAGACAGCCGCAGAGGGGATTTCACTGGAGGCCTTGTGTGAGGAGATGCAAGAGCTCGTGACCAAGGCAGTGAGGATGCTGCAGGTGTTTCCCGAGCAGGGCCAGAATGTGGAGTCTGAGGGTGAACCAGGGCAGGTGAATGTTCTGGAAGGACATCAAGAGAGCCCAGTGACAAGAGAGCAGGCTAATCGGTTGAGGAGCATCGTCCTTGTCCTCAGCTCTGCCCTCCAGCGAGGGGTGCAGTACCTGCAACAGATGGCCGGACAAGAGAGTGGTACCAACTTCCTCCAAGATGGGCGACTCCGCTGGGTGTGGTCAGAAGACAGTGCCGGTACTAACGAGGAGGTGTGTCACCTGACCACGCTCGGGGCACGGATGTCATACAGGTACCACTATGTCGGTGGAGGGAGTCGCCTTGTGCTGACACCAGCCACTGAGAGGGCTCTGGTGTTCCTGTTGAGAGGTGTCCACCAGGGACACCACTCTCTCCTCACTGGACCCGAGGTACACATAGTACACCTTTCATACACACCAGTTGTTACTTGCCTTCTGTTACATTTTGTCATGGGAGATTTCAAGGTTTGAGAGTCAACTCCCTTTGTCAAAAGGCTGGCCAATTCGTAGACATATTTAACTCTCCGTGACTCATTTGTCCTTGTTTGAAAGTTTTCATCTACAAGTATAACACCTTATAGCTACAGTGTGCTGCGTCATAATGTCACCCGCTGTATTCAGGCTTGTTAACCTGTCACAGGCCAGTGGGAAGAGCAGTGTGGTCGCAGAGCTGGCAGCCATGACTGGCCAACCTCTCTTCTCCCTTCACTGCACTCCCCACACTTCCTCCTGTACTCTCATCAACTGTCTACGGGGAACTGCCCTCACTGGTGAGATGCAGCCCTTCACTATATATAGCATACATGTAATTCACAATGTTTGCCGTATTCATACAAATGGTAGAGCGTATAGGTAAAGTGTGTGCAACAGAATAGTTATGACACCAAAATGCAGCCTTTTTACAGTATTGACATTGCCCTTTGCGTGTAATCAGCATTATAAAGTAGACTTTGGTGCTATTCCAACATTCCATTGCTTCAGTACAACATGCGCTATACCGAACCTTAGTTTTAGACCCACAAAATAATGATGATCTCTTACACCAGGTTGCTGGCTGCTGCTCCAGTCAGTCGACTCTCTCTCCCTGGCAGCCCTCCACACTGTGTCGGTACTCCTCCCACAGCTCCAGCTGGCCAGGCGGACAGGGGCCTCCTCCCTCCCCTGGCTGGGAGCCCAACCTCTCTCCCTCCCTCCTGGTGTCACCCCCGGCGTCTGTTTCGGAACAACCTTCTCTCCGTCCACCACCACTGCCAAACTCTCACCAGAACTCCGTCGTGTCTTTGCCACCTTCTCTGTCACCCGACCAGAGCAGAGAATACTGGTCGAAGCTTTCCTACTGGCTCACCAGTTCCACAATCATCGCCGCCTCACCCACACCCTCGATACTCTCCTAACGGCAGCCGAAGAACTCTTCAACAATAAAGCATTGGTCGACGGAGAGGGAGAGAATAAAACTGTAAGGATCGCCAGAGACACTGGGTCTGTTCTGTCTGTGATTCCTCTGGGGCTGGGTGTACTCGAGGCCGTGGTGTCGAGTGGTCGGCGGTACATGGCAGAGTTTGAGAGATTGGGAGTACTGCAGTGGTCAGGGGGAGGAGGAGGAGGAGGAGGGCCACTGGGGGACCGGAGCCTGGTTCTCTCTGATGTATCAGAGGGAGCCAGGGCCTCTTTGAAGCTCAGAGCTTCAACAGTAGACCAGGCAAGCACACTGTAACAAGTAGTTACAACTAACATGTAGTTACAGTAAAATGAGGGTTACGTGTTACGTACTGTGCAAAAATATTTTCAGTAGACCAGACTAGCACACAGTAGCAGCTACAGCAACTCAGTAAACTTCTCCGGTGCCACAGTATTATGAATGGCTAACTGTGCTGATTGTCGTGCAAGGGCATTATACTCATGAGGGAACAGTAGGTTTACCCTGATGTTTATCACGTATGTATGTGTGTGTGTGTTGCCTCTCTGTTGCCTACAGACACAGGAGCCAGCTCTGGTCCGGGGATCACTGGAGGAGCTCTGTCTCCTCCTATCACTCAAAGACCACCTCCTCCCCCAGTTTCAAGACACCGCCTCTCTCGACACCTTCCTCCTCCTCCTCTCGGACCTCTTCCCCGGCTGCAACGTCCCCGAGCTGCTGGCCCACGAGAGAGGGCAGCGAGAGGAGCTGGCTGGCCGAGCGGACCAGGACAGAGAGGAGGCGGGGAACTCTGCCCGTGAGTCCAGAGCCGCCAGTGCCATGATGGTCGTGAGGGAAGACATGAAGGCACCCAGCGAAGGTTTGCACCAGTTTATGTGCGTTTCGTGGATATGCAAATACATCTTGTGATGGATTGTGTTGTACATTATAACTCCTGCCTGCTGAGTTGCCCTGGTAGCTCAGCTGCTAGAGTGCTCGCCTGGAGATCCGAGTGCAGTGTCGTGGGTTCAAATTCCTCCTAGACCAGCTCTTTTTTCTAGGAAAAAAATTGTCTCATGTATGTGTAGCTGTGTTGACATTGTTGATGGAACATGTATGCTGGCATGATTGAAATACTGACACGTGGATATATAAGAGCGATTGTGATCTTGGCTAACAATGTTGCTGGAGCCTCTGAAGCGGAGTTGCCGGCAGGCATTCTATGGTGTAAGTTTGCATCAAATCTTGCATGATGTTAACAAGGAAGATGTAGATGATATAGCAACATCGCGAAATGTCACGCAACTTCATGGCACCAGACAGACACCTTACATCGCGAGGTCCTGTGAAGTAGGGTACATACATACGTATAAACTACTAAAGTTGACTGACGATCGATGTAACCCTCTAGTGATGACATCACAGGAGGAACAAATTGTCCAGGCCTGTCTACTGGACAACCTTGTACCCTCACCTTCACTCCAACTCGCCGTCTCTCAGGTACATATGTATGATATGTACATGTACTCACAATCTGTTGTCGTGCAATAGTTTCATGCAGAGATAGAGCATGCAACATATGGTTTGCTTGACCAAGTGTGAAACGCAGAAGGTTTTGCGAATGTGGTCAGCTGGCTTATGTACGTAGCATATTAAAACCATGAAAATTGATTTCATGAAACCTAAGAAGTTCAGGAAAATATAACATTGCTGTCATAGATCTCTTCCACTCTCTCTCTAATTGGACCTCCGTAGCTGCTGAGTCTGACACGGAGCCACATGGTGGTGGCCGTAGTTGGCGGAGTCTGCAGTGGCAAGTCCACGGTCATAAAGGTCGCAGCCGACACCCTCAGGGGTCAGGGGGCAGGACTAACTCTCTCGTGGATATTCCCGGGAGCTCTGGACGAAGGACAGCTCTTTGGACAGGAATTGGAAGAGTAAGTACTGCCTGCACTTCTGCTGTATACAGAAATACGTGTGCATATGTGTGTGTACATTTACTGGAAGACGTAAGGTGTCTAGTTTTATGTGCAATGTGTCCGGCTAGCGTTGATGCCATAATTTTAACCGTCGGTGCATTCATTACAGTACTTGGTTTGTCTGTGTGTGGTTGTCTGTATGCAGCTATCTTGGCACTGCAGGCTACGAGGGGGCCTAGGTGCTCTTTCGTTCAATACATGGCGCTTGCAAAGGGAATGGTGCTTTACCTACAGCAAAAAGCTGCATGAAGAACAGTCACACACTGAAGCGTGTTTCACATTCAGGAACTTCAACTTTGCTACGTTGTGTTGTTGTTCCAACTTGCAGGAGATGGCAGGAAGGTTTGCTGCCACAGCTAGTCACCAGGTCCAGGGAGGAGGGGAGAGGTGGGGGAGGGGTGGGAGGGCAAGGGGGAGAGGGAGGTAGTGGAGCAAAGTGGGTGATACTGGATGGCCCACTCTCACCACACAAACTGGAGACACTGCTGACACTCAATGACTCCGATAGACTCATCAAACTCAGTAACGGGAGGGGCATACCCATTGACTCCAGCTACAGATTCATACTAGAGGTTTGTCATGGGTTAGTCTAGCCCACAGACCCTCTCTCTCCGGCCCCCGCATGCGTGAGTGCGGGTACCGAAGAGAGTCATGGTTATGAGTACTACTACAGTTTCACGATTATTCTACATAGGTAGTTCGCTGCTTGATCTGTAGTTAAATACATTAGCATGTACGTAACACACAGTACAATGATCTTCACTAATGATGTAGTGGTTATAGTGTAAACTGTGTGTCATTGCAGCTGACCTGTCTGGACTCCCTCACTCCACGAGCCTCAGCCAGTCTCCCTCGTCTCTGTCTCTCTCCGTCCACGGTGTCGTGGTGGGACCCAGTGTCCCGCTGGCTCTTGACCCAGCCTCGAGAGAGAGCCTCCGATCTGGAGCCACATCTGCAGCGTCTTCTTCCTCCCTGTCTTGAGTTCCTGGCTCCAGTCCTGCTCGGGAGAGAGACCCGGTCCACAGAGGTGTCGACCAGCTCTCTCAGTGGAGGAACACAGTTGAGAAACTGTTTCCACAGGACCTGAGGCTACATCCTGTGCACCTCGTGACCACCTGCTGTACAATACTGGAGGTCTGCACTACTGTCTTAGAGCCCCATGCATACGACTGTTATACAGATTACAAGCTCACACTGAGATTGATGTCATATGTTAGAAGTAGCTATGTAATTTTCGAGGAAAATTTCTCACTATACGGTATGTAGACATGTATACGTGACTTTGCTCACCAATAATGTGAAACTGGTGTGAATATTCTCACAGGTTTCCCTCTCTGGGTGCTCTACTACGCCAGGACCAGAAGAGCTGCTACCTCACCTGGCCTACTCCCTCATCTGGTCCATGGGTGGCCACCTCTCACACACCAACAAACTAATCTTCGACTATTGGTGGAGACACTCATTCGCCGACCTGGGCCTCACTCATCCTGTCCCGGGACTCATCTGGGACTACTGCCCCGATCCCGGGACCCCTGGCTTTGTCCCGTGTTTCTCCACGCACCTGGCCTTGTCCTCCTCTCCTTCCCCTGGCTTCAAGGCTGACTCCCCGGCTCCCTTCGTCTCTACCAGTAGAGCCGATGCTGTAGCGCACGTTGCTCAAAGGCTCGTTAGCCAGGGGAGCCCCGTGTTATTAGTTGGAGCTCTGGGTAGCGGAAAGACGGTTCTTTTACAGCAGATCCTCTCCAAGACCACAAGTAATGATGTGACTCTTCAGCACTACTATGCAAGCCAGGTACACATACAGTACTGCAAAGCCAGCTACTAACTGTAATGTGTATGATCGTACCTACATTGAATAGAGATTGTTGCAAAAGCTGCTTGCTTAAACCTCGCAATATTTCACGGTTTAGCTTGGTTCCACCCCACAATTCGTATCTCGAAAATTTGCTAACGTTTTCCTCAACTTCCCACTATGTACTTCTGTAAAACTACTGTTGCATGTCCACGTGACATTTCCCCCGCTCCAGTTCACAACTGGACAGTCGTTCTGGTCATGTCTCAAGGAGCAGTTGGAGTGGAAGTGGGGTCGGAACTTTGCCCCTCAGGGCAGTGGGAACAGGAGATTGGTCTGCTTCCTGGACGACCTCCACAACTCGGCCCCTGCCGGGAGTCTGGGGGAGATGGTGAGGTGCCACCTGACCACAGGTGGAGTGTGGGAGGGCGGGGCTTGCGAGAGTCAGCGTTGGCACCACGTGGCCAACACCAGCTACGTGTGCACCGCCTCCTCCGTTGTAGGGGAGCGCCGCCTGGACCTCCGATTGGCCAGACACTTCACCGTGCTCCACTGGGACGGATATGAGTGAGTCGCTTTCGTCACATCAGTAATTGTGCTGAGTATTGACTGGTATAAGGGCTAAATACAGAAGCTGTTACTAAAACAGATATTATACCGGGCCTATTGCCACCTTTACTAACGTTAGCCCAATGTATACTGATACAGTCCTTTTAACACTGAAGCAAGCTTCAGCCATGCAGCTACTCTTTGAGTAACATGCTATACAGCGGACAAAAGGCGATTGTGCTTATATACATAAATACATTGGGTGATATGTGCTTATGTACACATGACGTGGTGCAACTGCTTTTCAGCTCTTCAGAACTGGAGACCATCTTTTCAACGATCCTCTCCCCCCATCTCTCTCCAACCTCGGGGGCAGGAGCTGGAGTGGGTGAGGTGGGGGAGAGGCTGGTGCAGCTGGCAGTTCAGGTCCACAGCCGACTCTCTCCCCTCTTCCTCCCCTCCCCCAGACGACAGCACTACCTCTTTAACCTACGACACATCGCTGGAATCTTCCGGTAAGGCCCAATCATGTCATGCTCTGTCTACGTTTAGAACAGGCATTTCATTGCAAAGAGTCATTTGTCCACTAGTGTGGATTATGCTGTTCTTGCAATGTTATTTCCAATGAGGGTAGTGTTGAATTGTTTCTTCTTCTTGTTCTTTTTTGCTATTTGAAAACTCTGTGTGAGCCTGCAACCAAATCACACTCTGTCATCAGTGTTTTCCAAGTGTCAACAATCTCTCATAATATTATAGCTACCACACCTTTTGCCACATCGCAGGCAGCTGTGTCGGTGGTGCATTGAGGAGAAAGAGGTGAGCGCCCGAGGTCTGGTCCAGGCCTGGCAGCGGGAGAGCTGGTGGACCTACAGCGGAGCTCTCTCCAGCAAGGTGGACAGAGAGAGGTACCAGGAGGTCGTCTCCCATGCTCTCCGCAAACACTTCTGTCAGAGTGACCTGGTCAGTACTGGTGCTCTTCTTGTTTCTTCTTTCCAACTCCATTTCCCTTTAATCTGCTCCCTCTCTTCTACTTTGTTCTTCCTCCCCTTTTTTCTCTCTCTTCTTTACCTTCCTCTCCCCTACCCTTCCCTCCCTCCCTCCCCAGCTTCCCGAACTGCTCCAGCCTGGCTCCCACCAGTTGACCTGCTCCCAGAGGGAGAATCTGTGCAGACAGTTACAGCAGCAGTTGACCCACCATCCAGGACTACACATCAACCTCTATGATGTATGGTTATGGTTACGCGATAGGTGCAAGTTGTCTAACGTACATAATGATTTATGGTAGTCCACGATGGCATTAGTGCATAAGGCTTTGCAAACTTCATTTTCCCCTTGTCTCTTCACTTCATTCCTTCTTTTAAACTGTACTCACAAAAATGTACTCAACTGTTGATTCGTACTATGCCTCGAAAATTTGGCACACACGGTATGTTCCTTCCCATATTATACAGACTGTACTGGAGGAGATAAATCGACTCTGCCAACTGATAAGATCGCCGTTTGACCTGAGTCACGTGGTCCTCATTGGCCACGCCCACCCAGACCCCCTGGTGCAGCTTGCTGCTGCTCACTGTGGCTATACCGTGGTTCGACCCTCTCTCTACTTCTCTTCCTCCCTCCTCGCCACCTCCTGTTCCCCGTTTGGCATGTCTCCTGCCAGTTACAATGAGGAGAGCCTCAGACACAACCTCTGCACTCTGTGCACTGAGGCAGGAGTAAAGGTAACTACATAGCAGCTTATTAAGAACTGCATATTTATCTACAGCAGTGCTATGCATATCCTTGCTTGCATGATTACGAATTAAACTACAGTGTGACCTCTAAGACGGACCCTCCGAATAGATGTCATATTGGACACTGGGTTCTGCCCCAGTGTGTTATATTACCGAACAAGGGACTGCTCTGAATAGAAGAACCTTTTAACAACAGAGGTTTCAGTGTACTTTCTTTGTGTGTTGTCCCTGTGCAGAACCAGCAGATGCTGCTGCTGGTGACGAGTGTCGAAATGCTCCACGTCTCATTCCTGGGTCTCCTCCACAAGGCAGTCTGCAATGGGCACATCACCCACCTCTTCCCTCGCGAGGAGAGGACCCGCATCATCAGTGCAGTCCGCTCCAGTGTCACCAGAGCTGGCATTGCCTTCTCTCCTACTACTGCCTGGCAGTTCTTCCTCAGGTGAGCCAAGACTCTCACTCCGGACTCTTGGAAGGAGCACACACCACAGAGACTTGTCAGATCTACATAATTGTATGTAACTGCACGAGGTGCTTGTAGAATCTCTGACTTGGACATTGGGACAATGCATAGAGTAGTGTAATGGTATCTTTTGTGGTACCATGTGAAGGCATAAAAGCAGGACAAGAATACAGGAAAATGGCGACAATGCCAAATATGAGCTTCTCTATCACAGTTCGCACTCTCAAGCCTACACTTTGTCCCTGACATGCTTTCCTACTTCATGATGTATTGTAGGTTGAAATGCTGCACATGTTTACCCACTTCATCAAAAACACACTGTTTTGAGAGGTGGATACAATATATGCACGATTGTGATCCATTCTATAAACCCGCAGTCGAGTGAGGCAGAACCTGAGGATTGTGCTGGCAACTCCAGACCTGAGACCACAGGGAGACACACCGTTGGACGTCCACTGGATGGAGTTCTTGAGTCGAGTCAACATTCACTACCACCAGCCGTGGACACAGAGAGATTTGGTGGACGTGGCTCTCCACCACCTCAATGGTCAGGTTGGGGTGGGGGGGTGGGAGGTGGGGGAATTGCTGCCTCTTTGGAATGGTCTTGCTCCCAGAAGCAAACTCCCCTTTAGTACTTTTAGCAGGGGGAAGCAGGGCAATTCGCTTCCTCCTGGAAATGGTTTTGCCCCATGAACTACTTAAACAACATTACGGCAGCGAACAATCTTTCACTACTGTTGAGCTCTGTCATAAATGGCAACAGCGAGTAAGAAAAAAATACTGAGGTGGAGGCGTCCCACAAACTAGTAGGAGAAAAAGAAGGTCCTACCGAGATTTGAACTCGGATCTTGGGATTCAGAGTCCCAGGTGCTAACCATTACACCATAGGACCTTACATACATACATTTAGCAGCGCACTAGATGGCATACGAATGAATACATAAGAGAACAATAGGTGGGTAATACATCATCGTGTGTTTGTCTCTGCAGCTATATCTGTTCTGCCACCGTCCCTGCGGGAGAGCTGTGCTCACATGCTGGCAGCCATCCACCTCCAGCTGAGGGCCAGGCAGGGACTCCTCCCAGCGTACAACTCCACCTTCCAGTACCTTGTGAACTGGTGGGTCTCTCTTTCTTTAGACGCTGATTCCATGGTAACTACCGTGCAAGTAGAAAGCCTTGTGCCCTGGGGGTAGCGCCCTTGCTGCGTTCTGGGGCGCCGGCTTTCTACTGCTCGTAGATCTGGAATAAGCGTCTAAAAAGTGTTTCCACCATCAAAGATTAGGCAGACTTGCTTTGTTAGCAAGCAAGCATTACTGTAGCCTCCACGACACCACATAATATCTAGGTTTGTTGAGAAGCTACAGGAGAGCCACAATCTCCAGGAGGAGCAGACGGGGCGACTGCGGCAGGCCATGGAGTGCGTGGAGAAGGCCCGAGAGAAGGGAGGGGAGGTGGAGGAGAAACTGGTGAGGGAGGAGAGGGTCTTGGAGGAGAGGGACGAGGCATACAGGAAGGTCCTGGTCCAGCTGGGGCAGGACACCGCCATCTCTGAGGAGCAGAGTCGACTGGTGGCCAGACAGAGACACAGGGTCTCTGACCTCAGAAAGGTCCACTCTAAACAGTTATGAGATAGTCTGTTGTGTTACATTATGGTCTGTTGCACTTTTTGTAAGATCTGAAGGTACACAATCTGCTACAATTAACTGTCTTTGTTTACTGAAATAATTATATAGGCTCACAATAATGGTCGCACTGTATGGCAAATGGGATGGTTAGGCGTAATCACCACCGATTGTGAGTATTTTGGTCAGCAAAGCAACTACTTATAGCGAAGACCGTTTGCAAATGACCTTCCGTTTATTATGACTGCACAGGCTTACATATGGACAAGTTGCATTCTTATCACGAACATTGCTTGCATGTATACAAAGGACCTAGTTACAGTTCCCAACACACTATGGTCGCAGGTGATCCCGCAGTATGAACTGGGTCTCCAGATGGCAGGGGAGGAGAAACTCTCCCTGGTCCTCCACCTCAAGCGACAGGTGGTGAACATCAACCACTCCTCTCTCACGGAGCTGCGGGCCCAGCAGCGACCCCAGCAGCTCATCGAGGACCTCATGTCAGCCGTCATCTCCATCGTCAAGTCCCCCAGTGCCGATCTCTCCTGGACCAAGGGGGCCAAGCGACTCATGGCCAACATCGACCGCTTCCAGGAGCTACTCCTTGCGAAGAGCCAGTCGGAGAGCGACTCTGTGACCATTCTGAAGTCGGTCGAACCGATTATCAACCGGGTTGCCCCGTCAGTGGATGAGCTGGGGAGCTATCCGGGAGGACTGGCGGCGATGCAGCTCCTGGAGTGGGCCCAGGGAGTGGTGAAGCTCCACTCACTGCTGGAGACTCGCGTGAGACCACTGGAGGAGAAGATGGCAGCCATGAGCTCGTCGCTGGCCGAGTGTGAAGACAAACTGCGACAGCACGAGGACAAGATGAATGTAAGAACTCTCACTGTGAGTGTGAACCTCACAGTGCACTACTCTCGCTGCTAGTGTGGGTGCGATACAGTGGTATATACAAAACTACACAAGATATTAATTCTGCAGAATGCGATGCACAGTGAGGCTTGGGTCATGCATGCATTTTGTGAGCTAATCGACTTTGTATCATTATTATGACACCTATGTCATATAATGTACTGTGTGCAGGTGCTGGGGAAGCGTGTGCAAGGATTGAGTGAGGGACTCGAGAGTGCAGCCGTGCAGTGCAGCCTTGAGAGAGACACTGTGCAACAGATGAAGAAACAACTCAGAGAGATTCAGGACTTTGTAGGGGTGAGACTCTACTATATCTCTCTCACTCTGTTGGAATTGAGACCTTTCCTACAGATACTAGCTGGGGACTATGACAAATGGAGAGAGCAGCTGAACACGGCTGACAATGCACTGACTCAGGAGCTTGGCCCTCTGGCAATATCAGCCTGTATTCCAGTCTACCTGGCCTCCCTCCCACCGCACACCCAACTGTACACCCTCCACACTCTCCTCCTACCACTACTGAGGGAGAGAGGGGTGCCCGTTGCATGTGGTGGCCAGCAACCACCGACAGTCGTGGGCTCCTTCTGTCAACCACAAACCTCTGGCTTCTCCTCCTCGTACCCTGCCCTCTGTCGGGGCGTCCTCTCTCGCGTCTCCTCCCCCTCCTTCAGGACACAGTGGCTGGAGAAGGGCCACAGTTTCCCAGCAGTGCTCTACATGAGCCTGGCTGCCCTCAGCTGGCGACGCGCCCTGCTCATACACGACCCAGAGGACTTTTTGAGCTGCTGGCTGAGGAGCTGGAAGGGTGAAGAACTGGTGGTGGTCGACTACAGGGAAAGGTTGGCCTTAGTGAATCTCTGGCTAAGAGGCTAATACCTCTTTATGACAAGGAAATATTAATTTGTCCCATGCCTTGATAAAGAAGTCATCTCCTGTGGGCATTAAAAGTTGGTACAATGATACTTTGATACTTTATTCTAGCTGTGAGTATGTTTTAGTGGTGTTAAAAGTAGTCAAGTCAAACATTATGGTATTAGGACAGCATAAACATATCCCAATTTATATACTCATGTTTGCAGAGATTTCAAGTTCTACTTGGCCATAGAGCAGGCACTGCTGTGTGGAGACCCACTGCTAGTGGAGGGAGTGGCCACACCCATTGACCCCTCCCTACAACCGCTCCTGGAAATAATCCATTCCTGGAGCAAATCTGGTAATAACGAGAGTCCTTACATATGTATGTATGTGAACACATCAAGTGGAAATCAGGACTTGCATCAGTTTTTGTATACACAGCATTGACTATAGTGTACTTTTTGCCTCAATCTGTAAGAGCCTTTAATATCACCGAAATATAGCATAAAAACTAGGAAACGTACGAACCTACTGATCCACGGTATCTTCCCCCCTTGGTACACATAAATATCTGATTTACATGCATGTGGTAGAGTAGTACACTCGTAGACAGATAGCATGCAAAAACCCAAGTACTCCTTCAGAATGTCCCACGTGTCCCCCGACAGAGCAAAACCCGTTTCAGTTCTGTGGCCGGAAGATCCTGGCCAACCCAGGGTTCTCGCTCTTCCTCACCACCGCACTCCCCCTCTCCTCCTTCCCGCCAACCCTCACCTGCATCACCTGCCCCCTGGACTTCTCTCTCGGCCAGCCCTGGGCCAGGGAGCTCCTGTTCAAGACAGCCTGCCATGTCACCGACTCCTCACCTGACCAGTTTGATAAGGTCTCCTCCCACACAACAGTTGTGTCGCTTGAAGCATACACAGTTACTCTCCCTGACGAAAAATTCAAATCCAAAACCATAGCTATGCATAATAGTTATTCACCAAATAGGGCCCTCTGTATTCCCACAACTGTATCACTGGAAAAACGGTAGATCACTCATGTAAGCCATTATTGTATATAAGAAAAGGTTTTACTCGTGATGGCTTACAATTGAGTGATCTACCGGGAAAACTCTACTTTGGAATATGCCTTTCGAGAGAGCTAGTTCTTTCTACATGTTCAACAGTTTCAAGTTTCAGTAGTTCCTGTGTCATACGTACTGTACGTGTGATGGTTAGATGGTGTGTGAGCTGGTGAAGGTGGAGCAGAAGGTAGAAGAGCTAAAGGGAAGGCTCCCCTCTCTGCTGTGTAACTCCTGTCACGACGACTGCTGCAGCCTAACACAGAGAGTTGCCTCCACCATCGAGAACTGCAAACAGGTCAGCTTTACTGCTAGTAGTGAGTGTACTCTTGTGCTACAAACAAGATGCAGTGATTGTTGTACAGATGTGTGGCTGGGATTTCCAGTCAGTATTATTTGCCATAACATAATGATGATCGATTGAAACTTGCACATTTTAGGGAATTCAATGGTCTTGTGTTTCAGAAGATTAAGTTCAGTCCATGACACTTGGTCTGTTCAGTCATTTTTATGGCACATCATGCTAAATACCATAGTCTATTGCGTTCAGATTCACCTGCATTGAAACTGTCAAATGTGTCATTTCTCCACACAGGCTGAAGAGGCGTATGCAACCCTCAAAGCCAAGCTGGATGGCTACACAGCTGCCAAGTCTCACCTGACTTCCCTTGCCCACACATCTTCGCTCGTCCTCGACCTCCTCCGTCAGTGTTCCCCTCACCAGACACCAGTCGTCTCCCTCTCTCTCTTCCGGCACCACCTCTCGACTGCTCTGAGAGGGTCGGAGGAGACAGACGGAGAGACGGAGGTTGTGGGAGGTCTAGCCAGTGCTCTTCAGGCCACGGCCGAGGTACTGGGCACAGCTGCTGCTGTCTCTGAGGCCGAGAGGGAGGAGAGAGAGGAGAGAGAGGAGAGAGAAGGAGAGTGGAGAGCCGAGGCGTTCTCCAGGAACTGATGTTGGCAGCCGTGAAAGACATGGCCTGGTCAGTCTTTCTACTAACAAAATCTGAAGCGATATGTACAGGTAATGCACAAATAGCTGATGAAAAGAACAGGTGATGAGGCGACGAGAAGAACTTGGGGGTGTTTGTTAGGTGTGTTCTTTATGGTTTGGTATATTGAACAAAACATGCAGAATCTGAGGTATTAAACCTTGCACGCATTGGCGAGCAAGGGCCCCTCTATACGAGAAAGTGCTGGCCCGATAAAAAAATCTTTGACCGCGCAAATTTATTTCAAAATTATGGACATTTATGCACTATATCATGGTGTACCGTATAATGTTCAAATGTTAACTCGTTAATGCTGTTCAGACCCACAAATTATTGTGGATGTCAGTGTGCTAGCTTCACTCAAAATATGTTTCACCTCGCAGTGTACTGAAACCCTCCCAGTGTCTGGTCCTTTGCTGTGCCCTGTCCATCCTTGCCACCATCCCTCCCACACCCCTCCCTCCCTCTTCCTCGAGCAGCTCTCCTTCTTGGTGGAGGGGAGGGAGGGCTACCTTGCAGAGGACGAAGTCTCCTCTCTCCCATCCTCCCCGGCCTCCATCCCCCGCGACCTCTGGATCTCTTCTCCACGTGGCTCCGTTCTCCCCGTCGTACTTCAGCCGCCACGTCGCACCCAGCGCACACACAGCGGCTCCGACAGGGAATTCTGGGCAGGGATCCAGCAGGGAGGCGGACGCAGGATCTCCGAGTTTCCCTGGAGGAAGGACCGACGCGGTCCTGAAACACTGGACGATCTGGTAATGCTCACACTGCTACACCGGCCGGCAGCTTTGGAGGTGATCGGTGAAGCCACGGCCAGACTGACTGACTCCATGAGACCACGCCCACTCTCCGAGCTGATATCGGCTCCGGAGGGGGGTGACAGGGGGAAGCCCCTGGTATTGGTGAATGATGAAGACGAACTTGAGTCTGAACTGAACATGCTTCTCCTGCAGGACGAGCTGCAGAGAATCAGTGGAGTAAGTTGTTGCGTCACTGGATTTGCAATGCATTTTTGCTATATCGTTGACACCCTCATTCCTTATGAGGTTTGAGGCAAGGAAGATTGTTTAGCTCGATAGAAAGAGGTGCAGAAAGCAAGTATACTTACTATTCCATACTCCAATGATAGTAGCCATTCTCTTCTTGCACTGATGTCCTACAAAAAACGCAAAATCGTTGACACGCTCATTCCTTGTACCAGGGGTTAGGAGGCAAGTAATGGGTTTGGATATATAGGAAGATAGGAAGAGGTGCAGAAACAACATTAATATTCCCGTATAGTTAAAAGATTAGACATGGGTTTGCTTGTCTCTTCTTGCACTGATGTTCTTACAAAAATAGCAAAATTTTTGACACCCTCATTCCTTTTAAGTCTGGACTGAACAATATCTGACCCTCATTGCTTTAAGTCTGGACTGAACAATATCTGACAGAAACCACACATTGAACTCTCCCCCTCCCTGTCTCTCCCAACTCCAGGAAAAGCAAGTGAGAGTGATGGACGTTGCCACAGCAACAGACATGGAGGGAAACTGTCTCTGTCTGAAGGAAGATGTGTCCGCGACAGCCGCCACTCTGTTGGTGACTGGGCTGGGACACTGCCACACCAAATGGCTCCCTCTGGCCACCGCAAAAATGCAGCGCTTTTGTGCTAGAGGTGGGATCATAGGGAGAGAGACAGTTACATATTCACACACACGTATAACCCATTGTAGGTATTGCAGATTGTTTGGCACAAGTCATCTTTGCTATATATTATTATTTTCTAGCACATACTGTTTTAACCCCGAGTGACGTATGTAAATGTGATATCGCATATCATTCACAGTGATGTGGTGTGGTGGTGGCAGTAGTGGAAGCTGACTCTCCTGCACTCGCAATGCTCTCCAGATCCTGTCGGGTGACCAGACTCTCACACCTTGCCATCCCATCACCTCCCTCAGGCTCCATACCACAAATCTCCACCCCTCTCCTGGGACCCAACAGAATCCTCCTGGACCTCCTTTACCTCCTCACATCCTTCCCCCACCTCCCCTCTTCCCCCACCTCCCAGCTCTCTCCCTCCTCCCACCCTCTCCTCTTTCACCTCTCCCTCCTCCACTGCTCCCTTCGTCACTACTGCCAACAGTCCGGGAGACCTACTCCACCCTTCCCCCTCTTCACCTCCTCCCTCTCCCTCCTCCCTACCTCCGCACAAGACCGCGACCAACTACTAGCAGACACAGTGGTCAGCTCTACGGCACCACACGTTGGCTCTGTACGGCCCGGTCTGCAGTGGTCCTGTTTTGGAAGGTTTGATCGCCAGTTGTCTGGATTTGTCTGCGCTGGAGATGCCTGGTGCTAAGCTAACCTTGGCTCTCGGTGAGTATGGAGAATTAGAGGTAGTCACTCCTGGTCCTGGGGTGCCACTGGAGAACTACAGGGATCATGTGATGGGCATGATGTCATCAGAAACTCACCACAGAACAGATACAATACTGAGGTATGTGTGTACCCTTAGTGTTGGAGTGTTCTTTGCGCGTGCTGCATGGGTGGTAAAGCCACACAAGCTGCTGTGATCAGTCAAAAGTCACACTTTGACCTCATGCTTGTTCAAAAGACCTTCACTGCTACAGTCCTACGTCCTACGCATGATTGTGCATTTCATACTGAAGTATTCTGCTCTGTGTTTCTTCTCTCTTCCTCCGTACAGCAAGCAAACACTATATTCAGCCGTCACTGATCTCCTTGTCCCCGTGCTCACAAAGCTCCCGGAGGACACTCCTCCCCCTCTTCCCAGCTCTCCCAACCCTCTCACTACCTCCCCCCTCTCCCACCGTCACACAAAGACTTCGGGCAGGTCTCCTCGAAACAGCAGCTAAAGCAAACACAACCCCCTCTCTCCACTAACACCACCACTAGTGCCAGGACACAGGGCACCCAGAGAGACAGCAGGAGTGAGGGGATTAAGGTGGAGGGAGCTGATGTCTGTTCACAGCTACCGTCTTCACGTGCCTACCATGACTACATCTGGAGAAGGGTACGTTATTACACGCTGTGTAGGATCTTTTGAGGGAAAAACTTTGGTTTTCATGGAATGGTTAAACTAAACAACTCCAACCATGTGGAGCTCACTGATGAGCTCATGAAGGTTGTGAGCATTGCTATATTATATTGTCACGCACATTGTCCTACAGTGTAATTATGTGTTTCTCTAAAAATGCAGGCTGACTCCGTCTTATAGACTGCTAGGACTGTATTGCATAAGACCATTATTAACATTTCTATGTCCATTATTCCACTGGCATTATTTATCAGTGATGTACGTATGTATACCATTTTAAACCTTTGCTTGTGATTATGATTTTTCATTGCACAAATTGAGTGTATTTCCGTGGCCTAACGCAGCAAATAATTGGCGTTTCACAGCGTCATGTATTATTGTCTACACGAACGAGAGAAGCAGAGATGGTGCTAAAAGTCATGACACGAAAAAGGGACTACAGTTCCTCATACAGTTAGTGTGCTGGCAGAGAACCATCTCTACAGAGACCACACCGCCCGAACTGCTCCACATATCCCCACGTCCCTCACGTTGAGATACATCAGTCCAGCGAAGGTCCCGATGCTGGGGATGTAAACGAGACCCTTGGCCGCCGGCATCAGGATCTCTGGAGTATAGTCTTTGGCCACTGCCATCAGACCCCTGTGTCGTGTGACATCCAGCAGAGAGGAAATGAGAACTTGTTCAATGGCTGGGACTTGTGGTGATTGCTTGGAGGCATGTAGGGCCCTTGCTAGTATATACAGCTAGCGCCATTATTTCAAGGCACAGATACTGGTCTTTTTAAATCTTTTCTAGCTGTATCCAAAATCCAACAAAAAGTGCACCTCAAAGGCAATATAATACTCACAACCAGGTATATGCTAAGATACTTCGGTCTGATTATATAGGGTTGAATTATGTGCAATCCATGTGTAGTCTTGGCCATAGTACCCATCACATACACATACATACAACCATGGACTATCATCGCCACCTCACTGACCAGTGCCCATGAAGGGGAACAAGGAGAGCTAGACCATAGTCGACGGCCGGGTTGGGGTAGACCAGACCAGCTGGGATGAGGGCCAGCAGGCCCACTGACGCCAGTCTCTCAATGTACCAGTGTCTCCCAACTGAGGCCTGGACCACTGGACTGGTAGCTGTCACACACACACATTGGCATAATAATGGCAAAGAGAGTCCAATTATACTGTCATTCATTTCTGAAAACTATAGGGTAAGGGTGAGTAATTCAGAATACGGTTCTGTCAGAGTCTTTAGCGATAGGCAAAAAGGTAGAAAAGGTAAAAGTTATACCTAAGCTCGCTCTAGTGAACCTTTGTCAAATCCTTCAAGTGGCTCGTTTTGTATGACAGAACTGGCACCAAATTCCTCTCAAATCTATGTACATGCATAGGGGGCCATTCATCAACCAGCAAAACACTAGCTGCAATCACCGCAAGTCCCAGCCAAAACACTAAGCTGTAATGAATGCACAATAAAGGGGGTCCTAAGGCAACTTACAGTAGTTCCTAACTGACAGAGAGATATTCAGTGTAGACTTGGACACCACCAGATTATCCTGCCCACCTGGAGTGTTGCATTGTACAACTGCTGTACAAGCGAGCTAGAGAAACTTGCCATAGTTCCTTGGCAGTTGAGACCAGGCAGAGGAAGACGGTACAATAAAGTTCCGAGTGCGCCCTGAAGGGGAAAATAAAGTTCCTATTTGTATGTCCGTCTTCATCTATGCTTCAACGCAACTTGCACACATATCCTTACCAGGGCCTGTACCTCCTGCAGGTCTAGGGTAGATATGGAGACATCTTCGTGCAGTGAAGCGAAAGGCAAAGAACGAAGCACTCGCCATTTCTCTGCACACTCCAACTAAAGCGCACCAGGGGTGATCTTTGACCTTTCTTGTTGAAAGCTCGACCTCAGTCCTGGTTGGTGTGTGAGCACGCTATGGCTCTTCTAGGAAGAGGGTGAGTATGTGGGGAGCATTCTCAGAGAGACCAAGGTGGTAGTGTGTTTGCGTTACGCGCGTTGTCTCCTCCTCCAGACTCTCACTGTCATCCTTGAGAAGGTTTCCTATCTCACAGACTGCACTAATGTAAGCTGAATCGTTAAAGCCGGGTGTTGTAAACTTCTTGTCTCTCTCTCTCTCTCTCTCTGTTCTTCCCAGTGTACGGAGCTCTGCGAGCAGCAGTACATCGACCAGTGAAGGATATGCGAATCGTAACAAGAAAATGGGTCGACCGCTCAGCCCCTCACTTCGTCTGCTGGCATCGAGGTCAGTCACAATATACCACCCTCTTCCTCATTCAGTTATGCTATAAATGAACAATTTTCACAGTCAAAACACAGGTGAGAATGAAAAGCTTGACAAACACTGATATGTATTAGCTATAGATGTGAAATGTTTCTTTGCATCCCCTATTACTGACCGACTGTGTTGCCAAACCTTTTTTGTTCTTAGC